TAAATTAATTAATTTTTACGCATTTTGCTTCTTTTGTTTTTTGCCAAATATTTCATGAATTTACGTCACATTAAAAAAGTTTTTATTGTTTCATCAGTACATGACGAAAATAACTTCTGTAGTGGGCACTGTTTTCGAATTCTCAAAATTACACAGATCTTCAGTAACTTCCCCTACCTTTCAAAACTGACGGTTGAGGTTCGGAGCAAAATACTACATTTACTCCTAAAATTTATATTAAATATAATTTTATATAAGTAAATTTTAATTTGAAATTGTAAAATTCATTGAATAAATTTTCGAACAAAGTTTCGCGTATTAAAAAAAGTAGGTCATTTTCCCCATATTTTTAGTTCATTTTACAGGTCTTTTTCCTCTTATTATAAATCATTTTAAAGGTCATTTTCCTCTTATTATAATTCATTTTAGAGGTCATTATCCTCTTATTATAAATCATTTTACAGGTCATTTTCAAATAATTTTTCGTCATCACAGTCCGACCCCTGTTCATCATTCCTAACGGTGGCGCCACGTGGCATGTCGGGGGGTGCCGAGGACGAGGGCGACGGTTGGGGCGCGGGCGGTGACAGCAGGAGGGCGATGGGACAAGCGCGAGCGCGGGCGTATATTGTTGTGGTGTTGACGTGGGGGAATGCGGGCCCGAAAGAATCGTTAAAAGGGCCTCTCGTATATTTCGCGAGCATTAACCGTGGCGTAAAGCGTGTAGTCGCGTCCTTTCCGGTGGGCGGGGCGCATTAGCACTAATTACCGACCGCTCAATGGGCGCGCGCGGGGCGTAAACGGTTGTTGGCCCATGCGGATGTGCCGAAGTGTTGTGCGGGTCGAATAGCACGATTTACGAGGCCAGGGGAGAGACGTGCAGAGAGCAAGAGAGAGAGTGATGGACAATAGGGAGAGGGAGAAGAACACAGGCAGAATAAGGGAGGGAATCAGTGCGTAAGTGCTTTGCTCGCGGCAGACACAATGAGGCTTGTGGTTTACGGTCCGCATTAATATGGTAGTGTAATGCATATATAATGAATACACTCGTATGTTCCGTATCAAGTATGTAACAATACACAATTGTTTTCTCGAAAATTCATTTAGCACACTATAATATCTGCACATGATATTGTGTGCATAAATTTCTACTCAATTTTCAGTGCCAGAAGCGATGCCTTTCATTGTAACAAAGTTAGACAATGAAATGTAACGAAACGTATTCATAATGAAAAAAGCAAACTTTTTAGACTTCCTTTCAAATACGTTTCACTCGATGAAAACATTAAATTCTCTAATTTCACCTTTTTTTGTACATCATTTTTTGAGCAGGATAAACAATACTTAACTCAAAATTTATCAGAAATGTAGATAATGGCCACATTTATAAATAAAAATTAGATTATTTAGAACATTGTTAAGAAAATGCGTATAATGTTTTTCGAAATTTACTCAAAATCTTCTCCGAGTGTCACATACTTTTTAAATGAACTGTAATAATGTGACAGTAGATTGAAAAATCGTCTGAGCTCACAGTGGATGGAATACAACAAATTGTAAATTAAAAAAATTGGCTGTAGTGAACACAGGATGAGAATAATTATTGCAACTCTATCTATGCGTGCGGGATGTGTGAAAAAGTTGCACCGACCGGTCTTGCAAATTGATGCACGAAATCCCAGCTTTCATCTTCATGGTTGATTGAACGCTGGTTCGTGAAAGTATTGACGTAAGAAAGAATAAACTATGTACGAAGTGAGCGGGCTCTGGAAGTAAATTCAGAGCATTACTTTTCAGGAATAATAATTTGAATTTGTTGGACGCGGATGTTCAGAGACGCAATGTGTGGAATGCCGATAGTTTTCCTCGAGTTAGTGTTGTAAAATGCAGAATTTGGATGCTCCATTGGTTCAGTAGAATGCAACAATAAGTTACTACTATATAAAAGTCTTATAAAATGTCAAACGTACGACTGATCCCACTATTCCCGATACTTTAGGCTAGGGAAAACGGAAAACATTTACAGTTTTTGGCACTTTTCTCTGAAAAAGTAGTATCTAGTTCTTCACCAAATAACTCCTATTAGTGTTATGGATCAGACGACGTGTGTGAGGGATTGGAGACATGGATACCGCCATATTCCCCATTGTCTCAAATTCCATAATTTTCACAAAAGTAGAAATTGTATACAATTTTTTGAATCTTCTCGGCATCTTCACTAATCATTAACTTCTTTGGAAAGTCATTAATATACTTTACTTCCGATATGTGAACCAAGTGATGCCTTAATAATATTATACTCATAACTCTACACATTATTACAATCATCATTGTAAAAATAAATTTATTTGCCCCAAGGACAATTTTACCACCGAAAAATCAATTTCAGTTTTTTAGATCGACTCCAATACTTTAAGTCTATTCTATGCTCGGTTGGAAAAAAGTAAAAGACGTATTTTAGGGATGGTGATCATATAATAAAAATATTAAAGATGAGAAAGAAAGGAAACAGAGGCAAGAGAGAAGGCTACATAAAGACCGAAACGAATATAAAAAAGGCAGAAATAAAGGGTAATCACACTTTAATAATCTGAAAGACAAATTGGAAGGAGCAGATAATGCAGAACTCGAGAGACAATAAAGAAAGAAAAGTATGAATGAAAGGAGGGTTTAAATAAAAAGAGGTAAATATGTACCAGAAGACGAGTGGAAAGAGCAGACAATGGAACATTCAAGCCTTCAATGGATGGGCATCATTCAACAGCCAGGGTTTTGAAGTATGTTGGCTATTACTCCAATGCTGCGTCAAGTACAGCTCTCAGAGGCTTGTTTACGCTGTCGCGTACGACGGGCGATTTCGTAAAACAACTGACTGCTTCTGACGACACCGTCCGAGGCATATTCTACTGGAGCTTCTACTTGACAATTCGTCCCTCACTATTATCTGTCTTGTGTATTGTCATTGCCGGGATACTTCTGTTTTTTCTAAAGCAACCCCTAGTTTTTCCGTAGTCTTAACAGCGATGTAATTCTAATGCTTAAAGAGAAAGTTCTTGGACAGCGTGAATATTGCTTGCGTTATTACACACAACAAAAATAATATTAAGTGAGAATACAAATTATTAGTATAAAGGAATTCGAAGGTACCAAAATAAAATAAATCAGTACTTGCGGATTAGAGAAAGTATAAGGGAATAAAAAATAATCATGCCGTTTTGTAACAATTTGAAATATAATATAATTCAGTATAAGTATAAATAAGTTCATAATGTTGAGTAAAAAATTATATTATGTTAGCGTGATGAAACTCAAAAGGAATGAAAAAGAATACCATACAATGCTCTAAAAGTAGGTGTAAATTTAATGGTCTGGACAACCTTCTATTTTCATTAAGGTAGAAAATTACAGACAGAAATAAATTTCTCTCGGAGGTTTTGTAACGAATATTGTAAGTGAATTTTCTCTAATAAAAAAAACATAGGAGGCAGGAGAGATCAAGAATATTACACGTCAGTTTAAAATGCAACGCTCTGATAATTCCTTTATTTACAAACTAGCCATTTCACGGGCAGCACGATTAGGGTTCTGCACGATTCAAGATTTATGTGAGAGAGGAAAATCATCCTACGTACCGGATGCAAAAGATTACAGAGAACCGGTTTTCAAATCTAGTAAATTGCATTCAGTTATTGTGTTTCAGTTGTAAGGGAAATTGGTGAAGAGTACAGACTTCTTATATTTAGCTCCAACATTGCTCCTTTCCTTATACGCCCTTCTTGGAAACAAGAAGTGTATTTATACGTATTCTTCGAGTAATTATTAAGTAACTGTTAGATTAGTTCCGTTCATTATCCAATTAACCGACTTTTATCGATTTTTTCAATGTAAAACAGTATTTGATGATAAGTTGTACATAATGATGTATATGATTTGGAGCTCTAATACTTTTTTATTTGCTTCTCGTTCAAAGCTGAAGTCATTTAATGAAACAAATCATAAGAAAAGGGCAAATTCCGATTATTCAAACGAGTCTCTTTTGAAAGTATTTTTTACAAAAACATAAAACAATTAATCAAAAATATATTCTTTAAAAGTTTCATCGTAAATGTTAAAAATCAGTTAAATATACAGATTAATTCACGTAATGAGCTATAACATCAGAGTTAAGCAGCTCCTATAATTTTCCTGTTTTTTTTTCTTGAAATGTACTATTCCCTCCCGTTATACCGCACAGGTATTAATTGAATTAATATAATGATTAAGTGAAATTAAATAACTGAATGAATACAATGACGAGGATGTATCCCTAGAGATTCTCTTCAAGTGTTGCTTCAGTTGAATCAGTTATCACTGCATGATCTGTTTGAAAACATTTACGAAATACATTTGAATTCTTTCAATAACTATCTAATGCATATTGAATCGAGAGTAATCCTCGACGCTACGCTACATTACTTATTGTGAAAAACTAATTTTCGTTATGACAAAATTTCAACGTATTGTAAATCTCAGTTTTGACAATTGTTTGTTCATCGAAAAATGAAAAATTCAAGTTATACATTACATAAATGTATGTACTAAAATTGCAGAAAGATTGAAAGAAAATTGAACTTTACTGCCAAAATTCTAAAGATTATTTCCGAGCCGGAAGTATTCAACACTATGTATTATTTAATATTTTACACGAGAGCAGTTTGAAGATGTTTTACTTTGAACTTGGAAGTGGACATGATGTTATTTCAGAGCACTGTAACACTGCCAATTCTTGATGTAGAACATTGCGTTGAATATCTCTGGGTAAAGGACAACTAGCCCACATAATTGTGTCAATAATCTCATTTCACATAAAAATGGATATAGTGTTCAATACTTTCGGCCTGCAGATTTGTCCCCAAAAATAATGCAGCATAATGATGAAGAAGCATTAATTAATGCAGAAATAAACAAGGATGACAGTGAAGGCTACTTCGCTTGACATGCGTAGTGCGTGCTGGCGGGGCCTACCTTTGCTTGGCCGTCTTGAAGCCGTAGCGCTCGGAGAGGAAGGACTTGGGCAGGGAGAGCGAGCGCTGCTGCGCGTCCAGCACGCGGCTGCGCTCGTCGGGGTCGGCGGGCGCGCTGCCGGGCCGCGACACCAGCAGCTCCCGCTCGCCGGAGGGCGCGCGCGAGGGCGGCTTGCTGCTCGCGTCCTCCAGCGGCGTGGACGCGCCCGAGCTCTTCTGCGTGCGCGGGCTCTTGGTCACCGTGCGGTCCGACGTCGTCACCCACACGTCGCTCGACGACGAGGACGACGACGCCGACCCGCCCACGGCCGACGGCGACCGGCTCGTGCTCAGCGCGCTCGCCACCACCGGCGACACCTTGCGCTCCTTCGCCACCATGGGGAACTCCTCGTCGAAGTCCAGCGACACGCCGGCGCCCGCGCCGCCGTTGCTGCGGTGCAGCCCCATGCCGTACATCATCTCGCGCTTGAGGCGCTCCGCCTCCAGATCCAGCGACGCCGCCGACACCGCCGAGTCCAAGCTGGCCTTGGCGCGCTCGTGGTGCGTGCGGCGCGGGATCTGCGAGTGCTGCGACGAGTAGTCGCCGTTGCGCCACTTGGCCTTCTTCTCCTCCAGCTCGGACGCCGCCAGCAGGCGCTCCGTGTAGCCCATGGCGCCGCCGTTGAGCCCGCCGCCCACCGGCATGGTGCTGGCCTTCCGGGCGAGGTGCACGTCGTACTCGTCGACGCGGTCCAGCGAGGCGGGAGAGGAGCGCGTGGCCTGGCCGTTGGCTCGCTCGCCGGCCCCGCCCCCGCCGACGCCGACCCGACGGCTCTTCTCCTCGTCGTGCAGGCGCCGCGCGCCGTTGCGGCGCCGCTCCACCTGCGGGTTGGTGCTGGGGTAGCTCTGCGACAGGCGCATGCTGGTGGCGGAGGCGGACGAGGAGGGAGGCAGCTTCGCCGACGAGGACGGGGACGGGGTGGAGGATTTGCTGTGGGACGACGGGGGGTAGAGGCTGTCTCGGTGCGCGCAGTGGGGCCAGAAGTCGCAGGTGTTGGAGTTGCAGGGGTTGATGACCTCGGGGCTGGGGCAGAAGGGAGAGCCTCCGCCCGAGGAGTGGGCGGTGCCCATGGTGGGCGTGGTGGCGCCGCGCTGGAGCACCTTCTGGCGTTGGCGCTGCTGCTGCTCCTTGGTTTTGGCGCGCGCCGCCGCCGCGGAGATCTGCTGCGGCGACACGAAGAAGACGTTGAAGGCCGGCTCGCCGCCGGGGGCCGGACCGTCTTGCGACTTGCTCTTCCGGCGCTCCTCCGCAGCTTCTTGGCGCTCGCGGCGTTCCCGTTCGCGCTCTCGTTCGCGCTCGCGTTCCCGCTCGCGCTGGCGTTCCTGTTCGCGCTCGCGCTGCCGCTCCTGTTCGCGCTCGCGCTGCCGCTCCTGTTCGCGCTGGCGCTCCTGTTCGCGCTGGCGCTCCTGTTCGCGCTCGCGCTGCCGCTCCTGTTCGCGTTGGCGCTCCTGTTCGCGCTCGCGCTCGCGGCTCTCGCGGCTGTCGTGGTAGCGGTGCATAAGCAGCGCACGGGCCGCGGCGCGGCTGCGCGTCCCGTACAGGTACTCCGTGATGACGCGCGCTTCTTCCTCAGCGTCCCAGTTTTCGTGGTGGAGTTCTTCCGAGTGAGTCTTTCCTGAAAGAAGTTGCCCTTCGGGTCAGAATGCTGCGTGCTCCAACTCCCAGTGCCTGGCCCTAGGTGGCCCTACGTCCTTTAATTGGTACTTGTTGCTGATTAGTTGGTGAAATGTGGTTTAGATTCTTTCCCTACCAATAATTTTAAATGGTATTAGAAACTTTTTAATTAAGAAATACCTGAAGAATGTTTGTAGTGAATCAAAGCAAAAACGTCTAATTGAATGCTTTTAAATCATGATCAAAAATATAAACTTGTATTAAACATGTCTTTTTGAATTTTAATACGATATTCATCAAATATATGTACTCGTACGTTAATGAAATCAATTTACAGAAAATTTTAAACTTGTAATAGTTATATTTTCGTAAACGTTTATAGAATATTTGTGGTAATAATTCATAACTGAAAAACATATCAGATTATTTTTATTATTGTTTTGATTTTATCCAGTGGATTTCAACTGATAAATGATTCCATATTCCACACCAACTAATCAACAGATACCATATGCACTATAAAGCACAGGATGCAGAATAGTGGGTGTCTACAACCAGCCTGCAGTCTGCAGCAGAGTGGCAATTTAGAAGAAGTTGAAGCAAAAGCGAAGGAAAAAGATTTAGCCGAAAGGTTCAGAAGTCTTTTTTTAGAGACGCTCAATATCCATGAATTCATAGTTCAAATGTTAAGAGACTGGGTGCATTATGGTTCGATTTTGTAAATTTGGATCCGTTTCATTCCAGTTTTAGAGAAGCAGATCCTCTACCATGCGGAATCGTCGATCGGTTGTGCACTACAGTGCATTTGTGCTTGTGCGGTTGAGATTCTAGCTAAAGTAAAGAAGCTAAGGCAGAGGCTCCGGTGTGTTACACAAAATTATTGTTATATCTACGCAAACTTTGTAATTTTTCTAAAGACAATGTTGTTTTGTTTTGGTTTCACAATTTACTAATTTTAATGTATCAAACCCAATATAATATCAATTAACAAACGTTTGATATGAAATGATTCTTTGAAAAAAACAACACATTGTTTTATTTACATGGATTTAAAAGCACTAAACAGGCTTTATGAGCCGAGTGCCGCAAAAAGGTAAAATGAAGCTTTACGAAAATAATATATTATTTTGCAATAAGTATTTCCAAAGAAACGAGAAATTTTCAGACAAGCGCGATGGCAACACCCGTGAGCATCTCCATCCTAGCAAAGCAGTAGCAAGAAAAGAGAGATCGCTGGAGCTACAGTGGGCAGACTTACTGTGCGTTGGTGCGGGAACACTTACTCTGAACAGACTTACTGTGCTGAATGTACGAGCGCCTGGGGCGTTCACTTGGTTGGTCGCTGCTGCCGATCTTCACGACCACCCTGTGTGGCGGATCGGCGGGCGCGGGTGGCGGCGGGGGTTGCTGTTCCTGCTGCTGTTGTTGCAGCGCCCTCTGCAACGACTGCGGGTGATAGTAGAGCGACTGCTGCGGCGGCGGGCCCGACGATGGCTGTTGCTGCTGTTGCTGCTGCTGCTGCTGTTGTTGCTGCAGCTGTTGCTGTTGCTGCAACTGTTGCTGCTGCGCCTGCTGCTGCTGGTAGTTCTTCACGAGGAAGTACTGGTACTCGGAGGGCGTGTGGCTGCCGGCTGTACCGGGAGAAGGCATCGTACCGGGGGACTTGGTTTCTGGGAGTTGGAGGCTGCGCGAGCGTCGCACGCGGTTGCGGCCGTCCCACGTGTGGTACACGTGCGGCACGGGCGAGGGCGTGGGCGGCGGCTGGGGCTGCGGCGGAGGCTGCTGCTTCACCGGCTGCCGGCGGAACGCTTGCGAGGACGCCGTGCGCGCCGGGCTGCTACTGGAAGAGGAGGTCGACGAAGAGTCGTTGGAGACGATTTTTTTGTTGCTGCCGTCCGACCCTGGGGAACGCCGATGGTGCGTGGAACGGTGATCCTGTCTGTGGTTCTGGTGGTGCAATCTGTTTTCGCGGTGCCTCATCGTCGACGGCGACACCTTATCTCCATTGACGAGAACGCGGTCTTTGCTCACGTGCCCGGCGTATGCGGTGTGCCCCGTGATGGTGGGCACGTCCGGCGACGAGTTGACGACGGTGATGGTGGAGAATCCGCTGAGGTTGAGCGACGAGTCGCGGTTGTCGTCCTCGTCTCCGTCCTCGTAGCCGCCCATGGACGAGTCCGTCTCGGAGAGGCGCGGCATGGCGACGCGCGCGTTGAGGCTGCTGTCCAGGCTGCGGAAGCCGAAGGAGGAGGACGACGAGGAGGAGGAGTCGTACTTCTGGAACTGGGAGCGGCGCGTGCCGCTGGCCGTGGTGTCCTCGAGGGACTTGGTCTGCGGGATGCGCGCGTGCAGGCCGGCCGCCTGCGGGGTGCCGACGGGCGAAGGCGTGAGGCGGCGGAGGCGCGTGGGCGGGGCGGGCGCGGGCCCGGCCGCCGACAGGGAGCGGGGCGACGGCAGCGTGCTCCAGTTGATGGGCGGCGGTGGCGACGGGGGCGGGCTGATGATGTCGCTCTCCACGATGGCGTTGGAGCGCGGCAGGAACGGGGGCTTGCCCGACCCCGCGCGCAGCCGCGGCGCCGTCTGGTACTTTTTGTTGGCGTCCTAAACCGAAGGGAGCGGCAATTTATCTCGCCGTTCTGCTACCGCAAAGTTCGAAACATTCAGACTTCAGACACATCTCAAAAATAAATTGCATAAAAATTGTGATGTAAAATTTCAAAAATGTGAAGAGCAAAAAAATGTTTTCTCAACTCATTCGATTGTTTCACGAATTTTAAAATATCTTACAAAAATCATTGCCACCTCGTTCATACGCATTGATTAATATGCTCAATATAACTACTAGCATATTGCGAAAAAATAGGTGCACAAGAAAAAATAAAATGTGCTTCGAAACTACAAATCGAAATATTGTCTTTCTACACCGTTTTATTTGTAAAAAAATACAAAATATTATTGAATCGTTTATGGCTTCTTTGGTTCTACAATGGAGATACGATGAAACAAAAAAGAAGGGTCGCAGAAAGGGAAACAACACTCCGGTGCAAATCCGTTGCCATGCAGGGTAGCACTCACCGAAAAAACGACGTAGCTCCTCGTCTGGAAAATTAGAGAAGGCATCAACATAAACAACGCCGAACGTCTGTCATTAATATTGAATCAATCTCGTTGTGACTACAAAAAAGTCATCTCCAGAAGAATATTTCAATAATTAAAAATATAATAAAAAATGTAGAAGCCCAGAGAATTGCGTGAAAATATTTTATTTGCCGTAATTAAAGCCTGAATTCCGGAAAAAATCTGCTACATCGAAGCTATACTTTAAAATACTCTTTGATGAAAAGGTGGAAAATTAATGAGCAGTTTTCCGAGAAAGTGTCAATTTTCACAAAGCGCGAAAGGGGAGAATTTTGGAACTTATCCAACGATTCATTAATTCATTAGAAAAACAAAGAATACAGTAATAATTACATTTATTACCTTCAAAGGATCGCTACAGAGTAAGTATCTCAGCAATGCTTGATGATCTTCTTGAAGATATCTCCGCTTAGTGAATCAAATTATATTAGTATCTTCCTGGAGCATTAACTAAAGAACTTAACGAGAGAAAAAATATTTCGAGACATTTCGCGAGAATGTTGAGATTCTTAATGTAACTCTCAAAAGTCTGGCCTTGAACAATTCACCTAAGGACAGAAAATTGAATTATCTGATATATGCCTTGAGATCTGGGAGCATCCAATCATGAAAACCTTCTCGTATTCATGAGCATATCAAGAATCTCATCGTCAGACTCCTTTTCATCTCTAACAGTTGTTCCCAATAATGTGGCAAACTCATAAGTTGCTAATAGCAAAAGCTACTCTATAAGAGAAGTGCTCTCAAGATTCATTTATATCTATAGTACTTGAATTATGTAGACTTTGCGGTACATTTCAACCCACCTGGACGGTCGAGATTCCATTAAAAAGAAAAGATACTTCTTTCATTCTAATGGAAGAGAGTGGAATAACAACAAAGAAATGACAATGCGTCGTTTCGATCCAATGAAAGAAAGACTTCGCTAAAATTCGCTAGTTTAGACGGTATATAATTACTTAGTTCTACATTCTGATTTTTCTTGATTTTACGTGCAGCAAAAGTCTTTTTCTACTTAGTTGCATATTGCCAAATTAAGGTTTATGAGGACCTCCTATAAGGACTTGTCTGGAGAAATACTGAACTACTATAGGCATAATTATTTCATTTTTCACCTCCAGTGAATGACTTGTCTGGAGAAATACTGAACTACTTTAGGCATAATTATTTCATTTTTTGGGGGGGCGTTGTAACTTTAGAGACGCAGAAGCTGTCTTTGACAAAATATGTCACATTTTTTAGTACGAATATTGAACAGAAATTGAAGGCGCCCATTCACCTGTCCCTCAAACAACAACGTAGCATGAAATGAGTTAATATTTTGTTGACATGAGTGGGAAACATTGGTTTCGAAAGAGA